TCCACCAGAATTCCACAACTTGATTTTGAAATTCCTGCTTTCACACAGAACGGCTGTAAGTTTTTCCATTTTGACCTCTAACTGAAGTAGAAGTCTGTTGAATCTTCAGAATAATATTTTGGAAAGTTCCAGTTTAATGAAATGCAGTTTGATCAATCATTTTGTCGTCTTTCTGATTGTTCAGCTTTGTCAACAATCGAGGGCCTTCTGGACAGAGCAGTGGCGGGTTTAGAACAAGACCAACCTATTAGAAAGGTGTGTGTTTTATTTGTGAATGAGTATCACAAATTTGAGATCAATTGTGTTACGACAGAAACCCATAATTTATGTTGCAAGAGCATACATTATATAGGTATATTGGTCAAAGACAAGTTCCATTTTGGTGTATCTATCAAATTAAATTTACATAAGTGATTTTATATACACTGAAAGCATAGTAAATGCAAGTACAGTGTCTGCTTTAATGTTTCAAATAACTTTTTTTGAAAATAAAATATCAAAACATAGGTGAAATAATAGGTGTGAAGGATTTGTTATGCGAAGAGTTCTGTTTATCTGACTCTGTTTCTTTCTACATTTCAGGCAACAGATCCAGTTGTAGCTGAAAAAATAGAGGAATTCATCCAGAGGTTGAAAAAACTTAAAGAAGTAGAAAAGGAATTCACATTAGTATGTCTTGCAGATAGTAAACTGCAGAAAGATTCATTGCAACTGACAAAAGATTAAACACTGTTGCTAGTTTATTATCATCAAGTTAGAACTAACGAATAACTAATTTGATTTCTATCAACAGATTATTGATGATCCATCAGGGAACAGTTTTATTGAGAATCCATTTGCGCCTCAGAAAGACATGGCTCTCACTGTCGCACATTACAAAAGGACGCCTGAACACAACGCTGCACTAGGAATAGAGGTTAGAAGCTGCTACAGCATCTGCTGTTGACTTCAGCTGTGTGTGGAAAACTGCAAGATCTCAGTTTCTTTCATCTCTTTTTAAAGGTAGAGGAAGAAGAAAATGACGAAAAGCCTGGCAGTGATCTAGATACAATGAGAAATGAGGTATTAGTGTTCAACACTAACTGCCCAGAATGCAACGCCCCAGCCAATACAAACATGAAGCTTGTTCGTATCCTTTAAAGTATGATAGAAAATTACATACATTTTCAGATGATTCTTTATGTGGTAAATTGCTAAACAAAATTAAATACAGGCTGTCCATGTAGTTTTTTTTTTTTTTTTTTTTTTTAATATCCTGCTTTACCAGTTTATTTTAATTTAGAGAAATGTGTTGTATCCAATGGTTCCAAGCAAGCGATTTGCAGGTGTGGCTAAAATTAGTGGTAAATTTGGTATGATACATATAAAAATTGTAGTATGATATTCTTTTGTGGAAATAACCGTGTATAAAAGTGCTGCATAGAGAAATGGTACATCAAAATAGTCTAGCTGTTGTGCGTCATAATTTAAATAAAGTAGGCCCCTTAACCCAACTGCAGAAATCCCACACTTTAAAGAGGTCATTATAATGGCCACTAATTGTGACAGCTGCAGACATCGCACCAATGAGGTGGGAATAATGAACTATACTTCAGAATTATACTTCTGTTTAGTTTATTTATATATACTTCTTTTGCTGTTTCCCTGTCATATATTGTTTTTGAATGACATCATTAAATAGGTGAAATCTGGAGGAGCCACAGAAGAGCTGGGAACCAGAATAACTTAACCGACCCTTCAGATATGTCCAGAGACCTGCTGAAGGTGGATTCATCTCACAACAACTTTGAGAGACACTATGTGAACATCTTTTACATTTTATTGTCATAACTATCGTCATTAATATATGTATGTGTGTTTCAGTCAGAGACGTGTAGCGTGTTAATTCCTGAGCTGGAGTTTGAGTTGGGGATGGCAGCTCTCGGAGGGAAGTTCACTACGCTGGAAGGACTTCTCAAGGACATCAAAGACCTGGTAGGAATCAAAGCCCAGCTAACAGTGTTTGTTGTTATCAACAAACAGCTCCTTTTATGCTTATTTTATGCTTTTATGCTTATTTTAGATTGTTTCAAAAAACCCCTTCATGTGTGGAGACAGCTCTACAGCAGATAGAGCCGAGAAACTAGAACTCTTTGGGCAAAAGATTGACAAGGTTTGAAATATATTACATTTCTGTTAATGTTCCTCGCTGTTAAAAGCAATGACAATATTCTCAATATGATGTCTAAAAAAGGAGCTTGCTTTGTTTATAATTTTTGAAAATAAATATAGAATTACTGAAAAAATAAATATGTAAATAATTTATATAATTTGTTTGTAATAGATTATATAAATATATATAGAATTAGTCATTTATACAATTACAAAAAATTTCTTCTTTGAATATTGCGTATATATGCATATACATTTTTTTTTAATACTTTTTTTTTTCTTTTTCTGGTGTCTTAATGCATTGTATTTACAAAATGTTTCTTAGATAATAGCAGGGGAAATGGATGTGCACATTATCCTGGATGATCCTGCAGGAAATAGTTATCTTCAGGTGAGCTAGGAACAACATTTATTTTATTTATTTTATTTTTTTTTAAAGGACCCTATTATAATATCTCATGGTTAAGTGTAGTATTTATTGTTTTGAATCTGTTTGATTTTAAATATTTTAAAATATGTATGTTTTTCTTTTTCTCTGAAGGCTAACAATTCACACCTTTTTGCAGAATGTTTATGCGCCAGATCCAGATCCAGAAATGAAGATTGAGAAGTACACCAGGACCTTTGAGCAGAACGAAGACTTGGGGCTGAATGACATGAAAACAGAAGGGTACGCAGAGAAATAGGCTTAAAGTTAGAGAAAAATGGAGGTTATATCTTGTTATATGCCAAATTCTGTCAAAGCCATTATATAGCATTATTTAATTCACTTTTACATTTATTGTAATATCTCATGTAATTAGCACTGCTGAAAACCATAATGTCTTTTAAAGGCTGCGTTATGATTTGAAAGGGGAAAAAAAATATTTTTGCTTGAATAAGTGCAAGGTGCTGAATTTTCCTTGCTGTCTGTGACAAATTTAAGTTATAAGTTTTGGTCATCTTGGCTATGAAGCTCATGTTAATTACCAGTATAACAACAGAATTGTTAGAAAGTTTTTGAAGTACTTAAAACTACAGACACTTAATAAAGTAGTCTTAAGCACACTGGATGTGAATTCTTTGGATGCATTTTCATGTAATTGGACTGACTCATAAAGGCTGTAATATAATAAGTTATGTTTGTACAATAAAACGGTATGGTATAAGTATGGTGCTGATCTGTACACTTTGAGTTCAGTGAGATATCTAATTAACAATGGCTTCAGCATGACATCAAACCCGAATGCAACTTATAATAGATTTTATGACCATATTGGAACATGCAGTTACACTGCTGACGATGCATTCAGTTTCAATTATCTGGCTCTTTAGTGTACATTGTGTTTTTCTAATTAGTCAATTATTTATTCTTTAATATTGTTAATACTGATAAATGGCACCATTTGGTGAGTGTCAGAAAAATAGCTCCTAACAAAGCCATTACAGCACAGTCCTTTACCAGCGAACAAGTGTTCACAGGGCATTGTTTGCATACCGGTTTACTGCCATTCATTCTCAAGTGATCAATGAATAAAAAAAACATGTACATTTTCATAAATATGTAAATGACATTATTTCTGCTTTTTTTGGCACAATAATGACTCATTTGTTCTGCATATTGGTTATTAAAATTATGTAAATGTAACTGATTCTACAGAGCTTCTCTTTTAGACCATTCAAGTCATGCAACTTCGAGAAAAACAATGTATCACGGGTTCTTTGTGCCTTCCACTGGCACTTAACATTTATTGAAACTTGAACAGCAGATAAAGGACATGACTTGCATGTAATTTAAAGCAGTGACAAATGTAACCAGCATTGGTCCATATACGATGGAATACTTATGTTCATTCACCCCACAAATGGAGTTCCCCCCACCTTCTCAGTAAGGATTGTCCACCGTGATGGCAGGTTAAATGTCCCATGGCCATTTATAGCCAGTGGTGGTGTAGATCTCTTCTTGTGTGAGGGAGTGCGTCTGTCCAAAAGAGCAATTATCAACACCAAAAAAAAAAAAAGAAATCAAAGTTTACAAGATGCAGCTGTCATCTTCATTAAAACATACACAATATAAAGTGAAGTAGGAAACATAACATTACTTAGACTCAAACTAGCGGAGCTGCGTTTGCGTCATTGTCCATGATCGCAAAGCCTCATTACTTGCTCTTGGCTGGCTTCTCGGTTTTCTTAGGCAGCAGCACTGCCTGGATGTTTGGAAGCACTCCGCCCTGGGCGATGGTAACGCCGCCTAAAAGCTTGTTGAGCTCTTCGTCGTTGCGGACAGCCAGCTGCAGGTGACGGGGGATGATTCTTGTTTTCTTGTTGTCTCGGGCTGCGTTCCCTGCCAGCTCGAGGATCTCAGCCGTTAGGTATTCCAGGACAGCGGCCAAATACACGGGGGCTCCTGCGCCTACGCGCTCGGCGTAATTTCCCTTGCGTAATAATCGGTGTACACGTCCGACTGGAAACTGAAGTCCAGCTCTGGATGAACGAGACTTGGCTTTTGCGCGGGCCTTTCCACCGGTTTTACCTCTTCCAGACATGTTTTGACAAAGGAACCGCTTGTTTGGCTAATAGTAGCGTCCCGTTTAGTGTTGCTAGTCAAATGTACTTCCGTTTATGAGGTAAGCAGGGATTGGTATTTATACCCGGACGTGTGCTCTGACTGGATGGTTTCACTCTAAAACAAGCAACCAATCGCCGCTCAAAATTTAGTCTATGACGTTAGAAAGTCATCCTATCAAAACCGAGACTGTGCTCGCTCTAATTTGCATGCCAACTCTATAAATAAGAGGCAAAATGTACGCATCAAGTTCGCGTACCATAAAGATCCTGTGACAGCTGAGCTTTAGTGAAAAACCGACACAATGCCTGAACCTGCGAAATCAGCACCCGCTCCCAAAAAGGGGTCTAAAAAAGCTGTCACCAAGACCCAGAAGAAGGGGGATAAGAAAAGGCGTAAGACCAGGAAAGAGAGTTATGCCATTTACGTGTACAACCCAACAAACATGGGACGTCGGCCCGACGTGCCATGAGTTTGAATTGAATGCAGCCTAAGAGTGTTTATTTTGTCCAGAAACAGTATAAATGACGTCTAAATGAGACTGCAGTTGACTTTATAAGACGTTGAAAATACGTCCAACAATGACCACATCTGAACTAAACTTTAACCTCTTAAAGACATCCTGTGGACGTCAATATTGGACGTCCAAAAGACGTCGAAAAAAGACGTCATAAAAACTTTAATTCTGGCTCTTCAGGGGACGTCATTTCAACGTCCGAAAAAAGACGTTGAAATGACGTCGTTTGGACGTACCTTTGCTCAGTGGGAAAGTACTGAAACAAGTCCATCCGGACACTGGTATCCCCTCAAAGGCGATGGGCATTATGAATTCGTTCGTAAACGACATCTTCGAGCGCATCGCCGGAGAAGCCTCGCGCCTGGCGCATTACAACAAGCGCTCCACTATCACATCCCGGGAGATCCAGACGGCCGTGCGCCTGCTCCTGCCGGGAGAGCTTGCCAAACACGCCGTGTCCGAGGGCACAAAGGCCGTGACTAAATACACAAGCTCCAAATGAAAGTGAACAAACAAGACGGACTGGAATCTATCTCTAATGATGGAAGACGAAAACCATCCACTGTTGTTTGATATCCGCATGAGGGACCTCTGGTACATCTTGATAAAACGCAGCTCTGGAAGAGCACAAACACAGTGCTTTCCATATGTAACACCAACATTCACCTGAGGCTGTTCCTGTTTGATCGTATTTGCACGTGTGAACACTTGTACTGTACTATTATGGCATATGGTCGTCATTTGTTAACTCGTGTGGCTGTAAACTCAAGTTACCAGAGGGAAACACTGTGGCTTTGGTTTTTATTGATTTCTTGTTGACAAACAAGGCTGTACTGTATTCATACTGAACAATGTCTTATGCCTGAATGTTTCTTCATAACTACCCTGTCATTTACCATAAATAAATACACTGGTTAATGGTAACTACAAGCAGATTTGCGAGTTGTCCTGCCTGGTAATGTGTAGCTTATTACTATGACATAAATTGCGCCATAAACGAAAGTGGCGACATAAAGCCGAATATTTAGTACGAAAAGGGCGCTTTTATTACAGCACTATTTATTCGAAGTATGCTTTCGTTTAAAATGCGTTTTTAAACGACGTTGCCGTATCTACGAAAGTTTATAAGAGCGCTAATAGGACGCTTGGCTTGCGAGCAGGTAACCATGGCAACAGGAACGAAGGCTGCTCGAGTATTGGAGGATACATGAACAAAACAAGCATTCATTATTTATGACTTTATTATAGATTTACCCATCAAACATAAAAGAAAACAATAGTGTTTCATTTAAAACGTCTTTATAATGTCTGTTGGATAACTGAGGCAGCAAAACACCGATTAGTCAGGTAATTCACATAGCCTACTGTATGAAATGAATATTTTAAATATGGATTTATGCTCCTCTGATCCACTTTTGAATTAGGGACTGAGGTGGGTCAGTGCTGGCGTATGTTAGTGTTATGCAGCATTGCATTTTTACAAACAACTTTATAGAGGCACAGAGCCACTTCAGAGCAGATTTAACTCAGAAAACCTATGAAAATTAACCATGGTTTTACTACAAATAAAACCAAAAACCATGGTTTCTAACCATGGTAAACACAAATTAACAATGGTTTTGCTACACTAACCATAGTTTAACCATGGTATTTGTAGTTAAACTGTGGTTATACAAATGGTAATCAATACGCCAAAAAACATGGTTACTATAAACCCACGGTTAATTTTCGTAAGTGATTACTTTAAAACAGATGACTTAAAAGTACTAATGAGGAAATCTCAGGTTACATTGAAATCAGGACATTTGTACACTTTATTGTATGATTTGTTCCCTGTGATTTCATCCAGCTTGTGTTACTGGGACATATAATGGAGGGAGATGATTTGATCATGACGCCCCTGCAGGCAGAGAGAGAATCCACATGATCATGTTTTGACATTTGGCCTTGAATAAATGCATATGGCGCACATCAAGTAACCACAATGGATAAATTACTTGAGGAATTTAATTACCTATGCATATTTTCATGATATTATTTTGCAAATGACAATTCAGTGAATCTGAATAGATAAGTGAATAGATTGGTGGTTTACCATAACCGCCATGGCATTAACCAGGAGTCTTTGAAGTTCCTGCAGATGTAGGATATTTATATATCGGAATACTATATATTGTATTAGGGCCCAGGTTGGCTGGTCCAGAAGATTAAAAATGAAACAATGTGAGTAAGGAACCAGATAGTCAGATGGCCAGTGTCTTAGAAGATCAAAATCCCCAGAGTTAAATCAACTCTGCTCAGAGTACATATTGTCCCAATCTACAGAGAGTTAAAGTAACACTGAAGCCGAGTTAAAGTTAATGGGATAATTAAGCAATTAATTAATTGATGAGTGAGCATTAGTAAAGAAAACCTGCTGTTAACAATGTTGAAGATGAACAACTACTGCTCAGGCTTTTAGACATGAAAACGTATCACATAATCCTCAACAGTGGTAACTCTGCTTCAGTGTTACTTTAACACTCTGTAGATTGGGACAATATGTACTCTGAGCAGAGTTGATTTAACTCTGTGGATTTTGCTGTATACGTTGTTCCTTTCACGTGTAGTTTTAAGAGGGGCTCTCTTTGTTGAAATAACACTCTGACGATGGCAGGCTTTGTCTGAAAGGGTGTGATATCTATTTCTAAAAACCGATGATGTGACGAGAACTTTTCTCACGAAGGCTGCATACCTGAAACCACATACACTAAAAAAGGATATTGAGAGTGTGTGTGTGTGCGTGTATTTTATGAAAAATAATATGAATAGGTTAGACAACTAACACTGCTTTTATTGTCGGTTTAAAGGGGTCATATGATGCGATTTAAATTTTTCCTTTCTCTTTAGAGTGTTACAAGCTCTTGGTGCATAAAGAAGATCTGTAAAGTTGCAAAGACTAAAGTCTCAAATCCAAAGAGATATTCTTTATAAAAGTCAAGAGTCAGCCACGCCTACCTAAAACGGCTCGTTCTAACACGCCCCCACATATCTACATCACTATGTGGGAAGATTTGCATAACGCTGCCCAAATGTTCACGCAAAGAAAGAAGGCGTAACTTTTATTCTCGCTGTAGTATTGTTGTTGCCGCCGCCGCCATGTCGTGAAGGTGCTGTGTGTTTCGTTGTGAAAGCAAAACTACTTTGTTTGGTCTTCCAAAAGAGGACGATATCTGCTTCGACATGCCTGGAGCTGATCCGTGCTGGTCGCTGAGGAAATACAACAACTTAGCGCTGATGCAACGCAACGCGTAAAAAGACAGTATAAGTCATTATAATCCGTAATTATGTCCCCACTGGATGCAACAAATGCCTCGTTTATAATGGGTTTTCATGTTTTTG